TTTTCAGCAATGAGTAGGTCGATCTTGTCTTCCAAAGCTTTGATCTCTTTCCTTGTATACTTATCATCACCTCTACTGCCTCTATTATGGTCTCCAATGTAGACTGCGTCACTCTTGACCATGTTGTCAACCAGTTCCTCAACATCTTCCTCAGACCTTCCCAAGAAGAACCCATTGCTATCAGTATCCAATCTTGCTATGTACTTAGGAAGAGCAGCTCTGTAGAATGTACTCAACAAGCTCTCCTTGGAGAAACCATGGTGTGGGCATTGAGCTTGGTAGCTCTTGAATCTCTCCCATGCTTCACTGAATCCTTCCAAGTTCTTCTGTTGGAAACTGGAGATCTCATTCCTAAGCTTAGCAGTTCTTGAAGTAGAGAAGAATTTCTCCAAGAATGCTCTATTGCAGTCATCCCAAGTGGTGATAGATTCGCTGGGTAGAGACTTCTCCCACTGACGTGCCTTATCCCCCAAAGAGAAAGGGAATAGCTTGAGCTTAAGGCATCCTCAGACACACCATTGGTCTTTGACAATCCACAGTAGTTGTCAAACTTATCCAAGTGGTCAAAGGGGTCTTCTACAGGCAAGCCATGATACTTGTTGTTCTCGATCACGTTGAGGAGTCCTGGTTTGACCTCAAAGTTGTTGGACTCCACAGCTGGTGCTCAGATTCCCAACCTATTTCCATGAAGGTTTGGGCGGTCATAGGTACCGATAAGACGAGCTGGGCGCGCTGGGTGCACGGGTGGGTGTTGGACATGGTTGTCAACTCCTTGTGGGTCTGCCATTTCAGTGTCCAACCGTTGTACGTTAGCCTGTTGTTCTGCTTGCTTTCTCTGTCTTGCAATCTCTCTTTGGATTTCAGGTGTATGAACTTGAGGAACAAAGGCACAACAAACCTTGTTCCAAGAGTTCCAGATATCAGAGCGCCAATTTGATGTTAGGAGTTTTCAAGACTCATAAGGCAAATGTTGTAGTATAAAAGATTGTCGAACCAGTTCTGAGAGATGTAAAAGCACCAAGAATGCAAGTACTCGCTTAATCTAAGTGCAATAGAAATAATGATGGCTTTAAACTATAACTAAGAATAAGAAAAACGAATACTTAAAATAACTTCTTTGATTGAGAGAAAGGAGAACTCATGGGCATAGGGATTAGACCTTGGGTGATCAAGTTTCGAACTAGGGATGGCAAATGATCAATCAAACTATCTACCTTAAGCCTAGACACAATTCTAAACAAGCTTTATGTCTAGATGAATGATCATTTGCTAACATATCTCAAACATCAAATGTCTTTGGTTGAATAATATGAAAGCAATCATTACTAACAAGTCTATTAGCTATTTTAGCTAGCACCTTTAACAACAAATGTCTTTGGCAAAGTATACTAAAATCTTAGAGAGTTGTCTCAGGCATTTCATCAAGGTGGAAAATGCCTATTGATCAACTTTTGAGTGGCCTACCTAGAAGAAGCATTATGAATACTCTACTAGCAAGGAACAAGAATGATCTACACTAAATCAACCTAAAACTAACCTAATCACCCTTAATCTCCCTAACCCATGAATTCAAACGGTAATTACTCACTAATATCCATGATTCCTCTTAAACCCATATTGGATTTCAGATTAATCATGTAGAGAAATAGATAAGAAATCAACAAGAACACAAGATGAAAGCAATGAAATCTGAATCAAAAAAAGTTTTACTAGTTGTTCTCCAAAAAAAGGATTATCTACCTCTGGTGGCTTACAACCTATTTAAAATTAGGTTTCTGAAACTTAAAACATAAAAACGGAAATTGCAAAAAGGTCATCGAAAGCAAACTTTTTCGTCAAATCATAGACGCGCAGCGGGGTCACAACCCCGCTGCACAGGTATTTTCTTCATTTTCTTGCCGTAAATCCGAGCGGCCTTGCTCACACCACTGCACGGGTCCGCTCCAGACTGAGCCGACCCCTCGGCTCCGCTGCACAACCCCGCTGTGGCCAGTGTTTTCTCACTTCTTCTCGTATTGCCGAGCGGACTCTTGCACTCTGATTCACAGGTCCGCTTCAGACGTCACCGACCCCTCGGCTCCGATGTGGCCTCTCATCTTGCTAAATGGATCTCTTTTGGCATATAATTGATCCAAACACCTCCAAGAAATCCATAGCATGTGCCACCACCTGATAAGGACTAATGGATGCAAAATGCAACCTAGAAATGGCTAAATCCTAATCTATATGATCAAAATGCATGCGGATGGATGGTTAAAACTATAGAAATATGCAAGACATCAGGTACCAAACTGGCTATAAAAGGGGTTTTGGGTATAGAGATGGAAGATGGTGAAGGTTCATATCTTGGTCTCCCTGGGTGTTTTCAAGGTTCAAAAAAAGATCTCTAAAATTTTATCAAAGAAAAATTAGAAGGAAGGTTACTGGGGTGGTACTCTAAAACTTTGTCGATGGGGGCCAAGAAAGTTTTAATAAAATCGGTTGCTTTAGCTCTCCCAATATATGCAAGGTCAGTTTTTAGGTTACCAAAAGGTCTTTGTGAACGAATTACGAGTGCGATTATAGAGTTTTGGTGGAGTAGTGGGGATAAAAAGAGAAAGACCCCATGGGTTTCTTATGAAAAGTTGTGTAAACCCAAAGAACAGAGGGGTCTTGGGTTTCATGACATTGGTCGTTTCAATCGGGCTTTGCTCGGGAAACAAGCTTGGCGAATTTGGAATAATCTTGATTCTTTTGGTTTCTCGAATTCTTAAAGGCAAGTACTTCAAAGATGGAAATTTTCTTGAGTGTGGAATGAGGACACGTCCGTCGTATGCATGGAGGAGTATCATGCACGGTAGAGAATTACTCAAAAAGGATTGTATCGACATATTGGCAATGGGGCTGATACTAATGTTTGGGCTGAAAACTGGATTATTGACACCGTTCCTCGGCCTCCAATGTACCGTGAGAATAGCTCCATAAATTTAGCGCTAAAAGCTTCAGACTTACTCATGCAAGGGCGAATCAATGGGATATTAATTTGCTACATCAGATTTTTACGCCACAGGATGTTCAAAGGATATTACTTCTGAAACCATCACTGCTACTTGAAGATTCGATCAGATGGGGTTTCACACCAAGTGGATCATATTCGACTCGAAGTGGGTATAAGTTGTTAGAGTTTTTTGTGGATTATGATCACTCTCAAGGACACTCTCTCACTCCTATTGAAAAACAATTTTGGAGAGACTTGTGGAAGACCAAAGCTCCACCAAAAATAAAACATTTTATGTGGCATGCTCTATCTGGTGCATTAGCTGTTAAGCAACGTTTGACTACTCGGGGTTTTCCGATAAACCCAACATGCTCTGTTTGTGGTAATGGTGCTGAGAGTATATGTCATGTTCTTTTTACATGTGTTAAAGCAAGTGACACATGAGAGCAATCTAACTTCCTAGTACCCTTAGGAGGTTTCTCTCGGAATTCCACCTTTTTAAATTTTGTGAACCTGATTAAGATTGTTAAGAGCTCATCTACTGATATACATACAAGAAAAGTTTTTCCATGGTTGCTGTGGGAAATTTGGAAAGCTAGGAATGTTTTTGTTTTTGAAACCAAGGTTATTGAGTCTTCGTTTATTACTAAGAAAGCCTATGAAGAAGAATCCACATGGTTTGATACATTCACAAGATCGAAGGATGGAGTGGGTGATGTCGATACGGAAATGGTTCGATGGAAAAAACCGCCCAATGGTTTCCTCAAATGTAATGTTGGATCCTTATGGGTAAATTCAAATCATCTTAGTTGTGTTTCATGGATTTTACGTGATGAAAATGGGTGTACAATCATGCATGCTGTCGAGCCTATTCATGTATGCGCACAAAAACAGAGGCAGACTTGTGGGCTCTTTTTTGGGCGGTTGAATGTTTGCATAATTTACATTTCTCAAATATTATTTTTGAGACCTCGTCGGAGAGCCTACATGATGTACTCACAAAGCCTGATGAACACCATAGCCACAGTCATATTCTCCACAATATCTCTTTTCTTCTGGCAAGGATATATCCATGGAGTTTGGATCACGCTCTTCCTGAACGCAATGAAGCTGCTGCGGCAATTGCTTTAAGTGCCACTCGTGATCTGCGTCACCAGTCGTACATCGCCCGAAATTCTCCGGTGTGGCTACATCACTTACTCGCTTGGGAGGCTTAGCAATAAGGGGATTTGGTGAGGTCCCTTCAACTTTTATTTGGTGTCTAATGACATCTCATCTTATCTCTTTTGTTTTTTCCTTTTGTATCATCTTGAACTCTTCAAATCTAACAGTGTTATAAAAAAATAATTATTTCTATTGTTTTAGGATTTTATGGTTTTCTCATATATAGCCGTTTAAACTTAAAAATTGTATTTAGTTTATGATTTGATTAATAAAAGTTAAAGAGTTTTCTTTTTGTTCTTTGTATTCGGCTAGATCATTGGTGATCTTAGGTATTCTTTAATGATGTAGAGAAAGCTTTTAAGAATATAATCATTGATCTTTTGATTCTGAGAATCACGGAAAACTATGATAATCACAACGATCTTATTTAGTCTAAGAATACCTAAGATCAATGTCTTCTTAAATTTGTTGCAATCACCAATGATCTAGCCGAATACAATGAACAAAGACAAGAATCTTAAAATTTATTAATCAAAACATAAATTGAATACAATTCTTAAGGTTAAACGACTATATATGAGAAAGTTATAAAATCCTAAAACAATAGAGATAATTATCTAATCTTAAAATATAATAATATTTGGAAATATTCCAAATACTTATATGCATCAGATGCTCACCAGTTGCCTTAAAGGGAGAAGTAATGCTAGAGAACACGTTCAAGATTCTTGGTAAGGTGATTTACCACGCTGCAATGGAGACAATCAGCTTTGGATAGGACCCGTGGTTCGACCTATAGGACTATATCACACCAGAAAGGGAACTCGACAAAGCAGTTTATATCTTCCAGTGCTTAACAATGCGGTTTAATGGTAAAGAAGGCTTTGTTGTTCCTGCTGTAAGTAAATTCCTTATGGAGATAAGCTCAAGGCTAAACCCGCAAAAAGCGGTCTTGGTAGATAACAGTAGTAGGTGGGTCTTGGCGTTTACGGGTGGGTTTTGTACTGTGATTCGCTTGGTGAATGAAGCACGTTACGCTGGATTTGTTAAGAAAATTGCATTTAAGATGATAGATTCGGTGAAAGTGCTTGTAGAGAGAAGAATGGAAGTTGGGCTTGTGAGGAGAGCTTTCAGAGATCTTGGGCATTGTGGAGGAACAATGGGACTGGTAAGAGTGGTTGTCCCACTAAAAGCAGAATAGAAAAAAACAAAAGTAATTTTGTTGGTAGTTTCAAGTCTATATTTTCTGATTATTTCATTGACTTAAATAACAAAAGAAGACAATACCTACGGAGCATCAACTCCAACTAAACAGAAATGTGAGAAATGTGGAGAGGTGGTTTCCTCATCTCAAGAAAGACCAATTCTCTCTTATCATGCAAGAAATAAGACAATAGATAACTACTACTTAATTAAAAATACTTTCAGTTTGGAATCTTGGTTCTCGTTGGTGTTCTCCGGTTCGGTTCACTTGTTTGGTCTTCCACGTCAACACCTTCTTCTTCAATATCTTGATCACTGATTGCATCATTACACCCCTCCCCGAAAATAATCTTGTCCTCAATATTCATTGTATATAAGGACTTGCGCAGCTGTTCGACACACTCCCACACTGACTCTTCTCTTGGTAGGTCACACCACTTAACAAGTTCTTCATTCACATGGTTTCCTTCTGGGTCCATCTTCCGATACTCCAATATACTCTCTGAATTCAGCTTGAGCAGGCCATTAGTGCGGATGGGAGGAAAAGTACCCGAGCTGGGCGTATCATCTCCCAAGAGTTTCTTCAGGAGAGACACGTGAAAGACAAGATGAACATGGGTACCTGCTGGAAGTTTCAGGCGATATGCGACTTTCCCAATGCGTGCTTTTATCTGAAAGGGCCCAAAGTATCTCGTCGATAGCTTCTGTTCTGTTCTCTTGAAGGTCGTATGCTGATGGTAAGGTTGTAAACATAGGAAGACTAAATCTCCTTTTGTAAAAGAAACATCCCTCCTCTTCTTGTCTACTGCTTGTTTCATTCTATTAGTAGAGCTCTGCAAATTTCGTTTCAGCTCCTCAAGAACCAAATCACGCTCCCTGAGTTGATCATCTAGTTCTTGAACTGGCGTTGAGTTCCTTTTGTATCCTACCAGTGGTGGTGGATCCTGTCAATAAAGATCTTTGGAAGGAGACATACCCGTGGATGCGTGATAGGTGGTGTTGTACCAGTACTGAGTCCATGGCAGTAAGTAACTCCATTTTGTTGGCTTGGTATGAACAAAGCAACAAAGGTACTGTTCGATACAATAATTTTATGACTTCGGTTTGGCCGTCAGTTTGTGGGTGGTATGAGGAAGACATATGTAATTTGGTGTTAGATAGAAGCCATAACTTCTGCCAAAAGGTACTAACAAACACTGGCTCGCGATCGCTAACAATGGGTCTTGGTATTCCGTGCTGCTTTACCACTGCATCAATGAAATTAGCAGCAAAGGCTTTATGTGTAAGGATGAGATAGAGGGATCAAATGTGCTGCTTTAGACAAACGGTCGACGACAACAAGAATGGATGTATGCCGGTCAGAACGTGGTAGGCTGTCGATGAAGTTCATCGAAATGTCTTCCGACAACCTATGTGGTATCAGCAGTGGTTGGAGAATACATTTTAGTGCTAAGCTGTCAGACTTTGTTCGTTGGCAAGTGTCACACTCTGTTACGTATTTATGCACTGTCTTGTGCATCGATGGCCAATAAAACTGTTGTGATAGTCTCTTGAGCGTTCGCAACACTACAGAATGCCCACCGATGGCTGTATCATGAAATTCCCTGAGTAAATCATAAATAAAATGTGAGTCAGGTGCAGTTACCAGCCTATTGTTGAAGTATATCTTGTTGTCACGTCTTATGTAGGGCTTCCTCGGGTTTGCATCAGCTAGGTGGCCGATTTTGAGCAGGTACGGGTCTGAGGTGGTCAGACAGTGGAGCTCCTCCCATAAATTAGTTTGTTGGGTGAAGATGACCTTTAAACAAGTAGTGTTTGTACGGCGTGACAACACATCAGCTGTGGCATTAGCAGTTCCGGGCTTGTATGTTATCTCATAGTCATAACCCACAACTTTCCCCATCCATTTTTTTTGCTCTTGCGTAAGGATGCGCTGTTCAAATAGAAAATGTAAGCTGCGTTGGTCTGTCTGTATGGTGAAGCGACGACCGAGAAGGTAAGGTTTCCATGTGCGGACTGCAATCACAATAGCTAGCATCTCTCGAGCATATGTAGAACAGTTTTTCTTGGTTACCCCTAAGGAGCAGCTCATGTAGGCAATAGGCTTGCCGTCCTGATTCAGTATGGCACCGATTTCTTCTCCGGAAGCATCAGTTTAAATAACGAATGGCTTGGTGAAATCTGGTAAGGCTAACGTTGGAGTTGTAGTCACCACAGTCTTCAGCTTAGCAAAAGCTTCATCTGCCAAAGAACACCAAACAAACTTGCGTTTCTTAAGTTAGTTGGTTAGTGGACTAGCAATGAGGCCGTTGTCTTGTACGAACTTGCGGTAATACCTTCTCAAGCCGAGAAAACCGCAAAGTTCAGTGATTGTAGTCGGTCGAGGCCAGTCTAGCATAGCCTGAACCTTTACATGGTCTACTTTAACGCCTGCACCTGAGGTGATATGACCCAAGTACTATAACTCGCCTTTGCCAAACTCGCATTTTTTTGTGCTTCACAAACAGCTGTTGTTGTCGCAAAATATCGAAAATCACTTTGACGTGTTCCACGTGTTCAGTCAAAGAGCGACTTTAGACCAAAATATCGTCAAAGAAAACAAGCACAAATTTGCGAAGGTACTCACGAAATACCGTGTTCATGACGGTTTATAATATTGATGGAGTGTTGCACAACCCGAAAGGCATAACGACGTATTCGTAGTGCCCATTGTGTGTCCAGAAGGCTGTCTTGTGTACGTTTGTTGTGTGCATCCGAACCTGATGATAACCAGCGGTGAGATCAAGCTTCGTGAATATGATTGCTCCGTGTAGTTCATCCAACATGTCAGAAACTGTAGGAATTGGAAATCGATCCTTCATGGTAGCTGCATTCAATGCTCTGTAATCTGTGCAAAATCTCCAAGAACCATCTTTTTTCTTAAAGAGAAATACTAGTAATGAAAGGGGTCTGGAGCTTGCTCATACAAAGCCGGATTCCATCATCACTCAGACCTGTTTCTCAGTTCCTTCCTTCTGAAAGTAAGCCTAGCGATATGGCTGTACGTTTATCGGGTCACTGCCTTTCTTTAACACGATGCGGTGATCGATCTGCCGTGGTGGTGGTAGCATCGATGGAGTACTGCCGAAGTAGCTGTTGCATCTCACCGGGAATCAAAACGTCGACGTTGTCTCATTCCTGATAGATGCTTACGGCAAAACAAGATTGGCCCAATCAAATTCCTTGTTAACCTCTTTGGATTGGGTCTGTGTGATGGTGGAAATTTGAAGCCGACTAATAGTTTTTGTTTCACCAGCCCACGGAAATTGCAACGTCTGGGCCTCCCAATCACAAAACGTCGGCCTAAGTTGGAGTAACCACTGCATCCCTAGCACCATGTCTAGCCCAGTAAGCGGTAATGGAAAAAGATCGATCTGAAAACGACACCGCTGATCGTTGTGACTACCTTTGAATAGACTCCGGTACACTGCAATGGAAACCCATCGGCAACACAAACTTTGAATGGTTTCGTCAGTGTTAGTTGCAGATTCAGAAGATGCATGAACTTTTTTTGATGAAGTTGTGTGTGGTGCTACTACCAATCAAGGCGACGAGCTTCTGACGGTTGGTATCAGAAACAATACAAATTGTTGTAGGAGAATCCCACCTTGTAAGGGCTTGTAGGGTGATCTCTGTTTCTTCAGTGTCATGGCTCCCCATCTTCATCTTCTTCCTCCAAGCCTTCAATGAGCAATAGCTGTGATTTTTGACAGCGGTGATCCTGTGTGTAGCGTTCGTCACAGCTAAAGCATAATCCAAGACTTCTCTTTCGTTTCTTCTCATCCCAACTCAGCCTTTTCGGAATCTGGTTAGGTGTGTTTTGTTGTGCCTGAGTCTGCTTGCCCTCTGTTTTCGAATTCCCAGTTGGAGGACGAGTATTGGGATTAGAGAATGGTGTGTAGCGTCGACTTTGTTGCAATTGCTCCTCTTTCATTCTTGCTAGCTTGATCGTCGCTTTCAAGGTTTTGTGTTGGAACATTCATATGCTATCAGAGATGGTATCCTTAAGATCCCCAATGTAGGTACCGACAAGAGCCTTTTGAGTCCATCCAGTGACCTTGTTCTGAAGACGTTCAAACTCTCTTTGATATTCTCGCAGAATTCCCATTTGTTGGATCTTAGAAAGCGCTACATCGAAGTCTTCTGCAGCATTAGGTCCAAAGGGTTCCCACAGTTCTTCCTCAAAGACCTCCCACGTGATTGCGATATGTTCTTCTTCAAGGGCTTTGGAAGTTGCCTGCCAGCATTCATTGGCCTCGTCTTCCAGATGGTACGAGGCGAAGCCAACTCGTTGCGCCTGTGGCATACCCTTGTAGGCAAAGTATTTTTTTGCCTTACTGATCCATGCAGTTGGTCTTCTTGTTGTAATTTAGGGAAAACAAGCTTGATATTACGATTTGGAGGGTTTGAACAGAGAGATTGTTGCCATCGCCCCTTTCTCTATTCACTGAAAGTTGAGCTCTTCCCAGTTGCACGTCTCCTTTCGGAGTGCTGGATCCTCCCTCACGAATACTCGTTACGGCATCAACTAACATTTGTTTAAAAGGAGTCATCCATTTCCCGGAACCTCCCAGATATGCACTCGTTGATCTTGGCAACTTCATCCTGCACCATGCATAGACCTGTCTCCAAATCCCCAATCTCTCTTTGTTGCTTGCCATAACCTTAATATAGCTTCAGGTTACAACACATTTTTTTGCTCTGATACAAAATATTTGTCCCAGATCAAAGCACAATAGAAAAGAACACAAGTAATTTGTTGGTAGTTTAAAGTCTACCTTTTCTGATTATTTCATTGGAATCTTGGTTCTCGTTGATGTCCTCGTTCGGTTCACTTGTTTGGTCTGCCACATTAACTTCTTCTTCTTCAATATCTGTATCACTAATCGCATCAACGAGGCTAGTGAGTACAGATTTGTTAGGGGTTTGCTTAGAAAGCTCTATGAAATCATAGGCATG